CCCCAAAACCCCAAAACCCCAAAACCCCAAAACCCCTTAATAAATATATTTAATAGAAATGGACCAGAGAGATATTAGTAACATGGTAAATCATGTGTGGAGCTCGTGGGTTTTTGGATTTCTAGATTTTGGTGTCTGGAAGTTGAATTTTGGCCATTTTTGTGAATCTAAAATTTGGGTTTAGGAATGTATGGAGTTAATGGAGTCTGCTAAAGACATTTTGGATAAAGAAGACTGCAATGAGTTTGGAGAACTTCGGGATTATAATTGGAATGAGTTTGAGAATACTGGGAACACTAAAATTGAAGTAAAAATGCGTAAAAGAAGACCTAGCAGTGCTAAAAGGCACTTCAAGGGAAAAGACAAGCCAAAACTCACCACTATAAGGTAAAGATAATAGATTGGGCTAAATTAATTATAAAACTCTTTGCGTACATGAAGATGCTGAAGTAAAATTTTGACCTTAGTTAAACAGCTTCCTAACTGTTTTCTTTAGAAAATTTCAGTCGACTCATAATATCAGATATGACAAATGTCCCAAGAAGAAGGCTCCGCTTGAAGATATAAAGTCTGAATCTTGGGCATCCAGTGCGACTGGGCTAGAATTAGAATCAATTAAGAAATTTAGTCAATCTCCGAAGAAACGTTATGAGCATGTAATTGTGAACAAATTACCTATAGTCCAATTTAGTAACACTTCGGAGAGACCGACACCAGAGAAGCAAGGATAGTGAGACTATCGGACACACTTTCGATAATGGACAAATTCTTGAAATAAAATAAACCAGTAAGATCATGCTCCATATAACTATTTTAGCAACCAACAATCGAGGGAAAGGACCTAGAACAGCTTAAAATAGAGATGATAAGGGAAATGAACATGAACCCGATGACTAAATGTCTTAGTGTCGCACAAAAGTTAGCAATCATCCAAGAAAAGCTACATCAGGAAAGTTCTCACAAAGACCCAAATGCCATCCCACAAGTTGTTAAAAAGGAAAAGAGTATACTTTCCCTTTCACTATCTCTAGATTCGAAGCTAAAGGAGATGAGGAAGGACTTGAAAAGACTTTCAACGATCCTCCGTATAAAGCAGAGATCTTTTAATAAAGTAAAAGAAGATATCCTGGCGAGTCCGAAGTAAGCCCCTACTCTTAGATGTATCATACCTTTATTGATAAGTTGTCAAAGTGGGTAATGAACCTTTTAGGACGAAGGAATCGACTAATCTGTCGAACAAGGATGACCAGTCAAATGTATGGAAGAGCTCAGAGAAGGATAAGAGTCAATCTGATAGTGAGGTTGATAGCTCAGAAGAGTTTTTTGGGATAAATGAAAAAAATAAGGTTAAGAATGGGTAAGAGGACTTTTAGAGGGTTTTTAGGAGTTTGGAACTTGATTTTGACCCTAGGCTTGGCTTTTGGAGGGAGAGGTTTTGAGTTAGTGAAGGAAAGTTTTGGAAATTTTGAGAAAAATTTAGGGAGATTGGGAGAACATTTGGAGTTTATTGAGAAAGTTTACGGAATTTTATATAGCTAGTAGAAAACTTATGAAATTTTCGAAAGATAAAAGGCAGATGCATTATTATTAAATCATGGAAAATTTATAAAGCCCTGCTATTCAGCTTCTACTAACTCAACCATCTGTTAAAATTTAGCCTTTGGCTGTTCTCAGAGATTCAGATGAGCCTAATTGCTAGCTTAACCTATGTCTAAAAAAGTTATCCGTTATTAAAGTCTTGCTATTAGATTTTTATTTTTCATTTAGAAAGAAATCAAAATTTAGTTTGGTAAAGAAAAAGAACTTAGTAAAGCAGAAAGCGACATGCAAAGTGCAGAGCTTCAAGAATAAAGATATCAGAACCCCGTTTATCTCTCTTCAGTCAATCCAGTTTAAGAAAAAGAAAGAAAAAGCTCAGATGAATGCTGACCTCCAGGACTGTCTAAATAAGGACTCTTCAAGCAGAAGTATTCCGAAGAGAAAAATTTTTGGAAAAGATAATGCAGATTTAGATGTCATATCTATAAGAAAGCCATTATCTCCGACATTAAAGCAGTAAGTTTTTACAACTACTTATTAGCCAAGGATTCTACACCCATCGGGAAGCAGAATTCTTACTCATGAACACCACTGAGCTGTACCACGCGTTAAAATAAATCCTTAAACAAGAAATACTTTGAACTCAACTGAAGCAGTAGGGCTTCCTAATTTTAGTCATAGGTGTCACGGACTCACAAGAAAGCCTTCAGTTGGTCAAGAAGGCCATGAAACTGTTGGAAGAGTACTCTAAGACTAGAGGGAAAATTAAGAAACAACTAGCCTATCGTTATGAAGATAAAAATAGTGCGTCACATACATCAAGAGTTGATGACAAACTGGCAGAGAAACTTGTTGATATAGTCAACCAAATTGAAGGCTTATTGCAACCTTCTGGATATGAGTTTCGAGTTATACTTGGCATTACTAAGCAGATTAAGGCCCGAAACCAGGCTAAACAGCTTAAATCAGTAAGACCTTCTCAGAAGATATCGCATTTGAAGAACGTTAGCTTCCATCAAACGAGCTCTTTCAAGACTGAGTATAACAAAATGTAGGGATTTATGTTAATTCTAGAAAATGACATAAGAAACGGAAGATCCTCAGTAATGAAAGAGAGCCTAACAAATCTCCATTGATTCAGTTAAACTTTATTACCAGAGAAAGTCAGATGAAGTCTCCATTTAGCCCTGTAACTGAAGAAAGAAACATTCCTTTTATCCAGACTCATAAATGTAAGATTGAGTTCTAGCATCTCTACATTCTATTGGTTTAAAAACTCTAACTGTTATTTTAGGCTCAAGTTTCTCTCCAAAGAAAGGGCGGAAAAGGTCTCCACGTAAAGGAGGAAAACAAAGTAGAAAGGATGTTTTGGTAAGGAGCACCCTCACATATAGTGTCGAGATAAGTCTTCCTCTCTCATGAAGACCAGTTATATTTAAGAAAATTGATCATACAATTATTGGAAAGCTCCAGAATGCAAAGGAAAGTCTGAACCAGACTTTCGATACAGAGAGCATCAAGGTACGTCAGGGGGAACTTGGCTTAAATCGGACAAATTTTATCACCATGCTTTCGCCTTACAAAGACCATGGCTTTCTCCAAGAGCTTTAGTTTAATTCCTCTGCGAGATCTCTTATTTTAACATTCATTTGTCAGATTTAAACAGTTTTGTCCGAATTTTGCTAAAAATTGGAGACAATTTTAAAGAGATATTTATTCGATGGAACTAATCTTTATATAGATGAGAGTCAATAGAAGACGAATCATCAGTACTATTAGGAATAAAATGAAGAGTAAGCATCAGTTCTATTCCTAAGACTGCTATTGGGGAATCAGTTGTCTGGTTAAGCAAGAAGGGTATTAGACCCGTTTTGCCTGTAGATTTCTGCGTTTGGTTTATGAATCTTAGAGCTCTTGTTTTGAAATTTACCCATTTTTGATACTTTTGATTGCGTTCTAACATGATTATAGGTAAGAATGGCAGCCCTTCTAAAATCCCTGCTCTAAGCTTTAAGAGAGATGGCAAAATTTGTGTAATACCACAATTGAAGAAGACTTCAAGGAAGAAAGGTCAGTCTTCTCGGAATGTGATAAATGAACGATGCTTGAGCGAAGGCCCAAGGACACCTCTGCTATTTTCAAATGGAAGAAAGCTGAAGAAGCTTAATGATTCTACAATGTTTTAAGCTGATCAGTTCACACCTTGATAAGGACCCAACTTCAGATTTAGAGTCAGATGTGGATTCTATTAAGAAGAAATATTTACTGCGTTTTTAAAATGAACCTAATTCCCACTTTTATTTTGCAGTTTTGCTAGTTTTGGAGTTTTTTAATTCTCCGAAAATTCTATGGAGTTTAGTTAATAAACTAATTCCAAGACATCAAGAGAGCATCTAACATTTAGCAGATGAAATTTAAAGTTTAAAGTGATAGGAAACCGGTTATGAGCTTTCCTCCTTTAATAGACCATCCTTTAGCAAGTTCTAGTACTTACAAGACCCTGACGGTTACAGTTTCTGTTCTAAAAATTTAGATGTTATTTACAAAGATTCTTAATTATCTTATGAAATATTTAGTTTTAGAGTATAAATAGAAGCAATGTGTAAGGATTCATTTAACTTTGCAAATTTGAAAGTTAGCAGGATTTCCTTGAAATGCCCCTCTAATTTCTAACAATGAATTTATCAGAACGAGGAAGCAAGTCCCCTAAACAAAATTCTGAGTTTAATGACTTTAGTAAGGCTTACTCAAATATTTGGTGTTTCAAGAAAGCCCTTTAGTGGGAAAATATTATCTTAATCTTATTAGTATTTAATTTAACATGCTAGCTCTCAATTGAGAGATCCCTCTCCGGGGTTTTGGGGTTTTGGGGTTTTGGGGTTTTGGGGTTTTGGGGTTTTGGGG